TAAGTTTCTAAGAAAATTTTCTTTTACGAAAGCTCGCTTCACCAAATATATTTTTTGTGGGAATCTGGCAAGTTACTCCAAACTGCACAAGCACAGTTTATAAGCATGGTCTTGAGGACATACACTCAAAGATGTTTCTGTCCTCGTCTGTTGTTTCCGGTCGCTTCTTCAAGATGCTGAATGAAATACTAGTCAGATTTTGCTGTGACCTTGACTAAAACGGACTGCTTTCCACAGACACCAATTTCTCTCCTCAAAACGTAATGGATTGTGATAAAAAAGAATTAACCTTAAGAATATTCAAGTGTGCTGCTAACTTGCAAGAAGTGGTTCGTTCTTTCTTCGCCCTGAAAACTTCTGATTCTGAAAAACAATGTTGTAGACCTCCTAGCTTGGGGACGAATGATTAGCGCAATGCACTATTCAGAGGAGTGTGGACAGCATAAATGAACCAATCGACCAAGCCAATAAATTCACCACCATACCAGATTTACTTCATCTGACCATCTGTGTTGTGTGAACGGTGTTATTTTCTTTCCATTCTCAAACATCTACCGCAAGGCATGGTCAAGTTCTTCTTTCGGCCTCGTCAAGGGACAAAATCTTGGATGGATAGGCGGAAAGGTGCCATGTAATTTTTTACTTGATTGCTCAGGGTGGCTATGACGGCGGTGGTCCCAAATCTTTGCGTTCTTCTGACATCTTACGCTGCTAACGCTGGCGAACCTCTTCGAAACTACCAATTCCGCAGGCGTAATTCATTCTTAGTATACCTAAGTCCAATGGGTCATATCCTTGCCTTTGAGGAGGGGAATTTCTCCTTTTGTTTTCTAAGGACTTGTCTCAGAAACATGTACGCTGTTTTTCGATGCGGTAAACAAGAATTAACCTTGAAAGAGGCTGTTATTAACATATCTGCAGCAACCTATCGACAGAAGATTACAGACAATCGTTTAAACAGTTATGAGCAAAGTGTTTTTCAGAAACAAGAAGCAGAGAAAGTTCGCAGAGTGTTGTTGGTACAGAAAGCGCATTGCGGTAATAGGCCATGATCCTCAAGTTAACTCTGTTTAGTTCTCAGAAATGATCAGGAATTAATATTTTGCTGAAACGTTCATATTAGCCTTAAAATATAAGTACAACGGAATTTATGCAAGTAATCGTAAAAATTTGGTTTGATAAAAAAGTGTTGATCATCAGATTGAAAAACAGAGCTGCCTATGCTGGCTAAGAAAGAACTTCAACTCAACCATCCCATAATCTGTGTTATTGGATGTTGGTCTGCCACTAAGACTGAGGAGAACAAAATAACGATAACGCAAAGAACGACGGAGCGAAGGATGTGTGGGGCGTCTGTCTGAGATCACCTTATAACGTACAGATTCTACAATGAACTGGATTAGTAGATGTGATGATATCCACGTTGTGAGACTGCAAGAAAATACGGGTTGGCTTTATTAATATTCTGAAAGACAGCACGTGAACAATCACAACTGGGTTCCGTTGACCGCCAACGTCGAGTTAGTCACTCAAGACCAAGATCACACTGTGATGATCTGACGGTCAAATTATTTAGTCAGCCGTGGAGGCAAGAAATTGAGGACAGAGAATACTGGAGGAGCATCGACTTGTGTTCACGACGCATTCAGAACGATGGCAAGTCAGGTGACAGATGGCAGATTGCAAGCCTTAACATGATCAAACAGTCAATGAAGGCTTTTGGCATGAGCAACGTTAGTTTCTATCAGCAGAGCATTGGCCCGTCGTCGTTGTTTACGAACAGAAACTGTAGAGGATGCAAAAAGCAGCACACAATGCAAATATGTTTTCACTCCCAGTGCACCAAAAACAAAACTATTCGTCTGGCTATTTACTTTATTTCTTTTTCCAGTTGTTTACGAACCCTCGCGAGGAATGACTTAACTGACCGACTAAATACAAATCTGCAGGAAAGCAAGGGAGTCATTTTATGATGATGATAAATCGAAAACGTAGAGCTCAATAACAACAACTCACCCCCCCTCTTCAAACATTTTCCCCTCACGGACGTGAGTATATACTTCTCAAAAACCGTTCATGACGTTGGTTTTTAGCGTTATACATTAAACTAGCGTTCTGAACATCCTGTGGGCTGCAGTTTACAGTAAAGCTTAATTTATGGCTTATGCATGGTCTTTCTGTTGGAGATTAGATACTGTCAGTTTATGATGGAACGCTTTTCTAAAAGCATGTGACAGCAAATCGCCTCACAGGAAAGCCTTGCGATTGACCAATTTGGCAAATTTCGATGACTGTTGTAGAATTGTTTTTCTCAGTTTCTTCGCAGAAGCATTTAACGTCTCATTGGACATATTTTTGTGGAAAAATGCATTCGGTAAGCAAAATATTTAAATTCATTTTTTTGGCTTTTGACTACCAACACTTCGCTTCAGACACAGTAATTGGTAACTTTCTACTTTACAGTTGCATTCTAACCCTTGGTCAACAGAATAATACAAGTGAGGTAGGCCTCGGCGTATCAAGTCAAGTTTACTGGCATGCGCAATGACCGCTGCTATCAGTGTTAGTTCTTCTACAAAACAAGATTAATGTATATTATCATTAAAAGAGATAAAACGTATACGAAATGAAATGAAATTAATTTCTAGTGCTTTATCATGTTATATATCTTAACTCATTCTAGAGATCAAAAATTTCTCCTCAGACATGCAAAGTTCAAGTAAATAGATTGAAAAACTAGTTTTATAATTTTCTAGTTACTTAGAAGCAGCTATTAATTTGCGAATATAGTACAGGCAATTACACATTAATCAAATACTGATATATGCAAGGAGTGCTGCTGTTAGATTTTTGTTTGAGCTGGTAGGACGACGAACCTGCTGTGGATACCAAATGCTTTCTCACAAGAACACTGCTCACCCGTCGCAGGGCGTTGGGTAGCTATATAGTACGTGGAAATACTTCATTCATATAGTCTTGGAAATTCCTCTTTGCGACGACAAATGTGACCTTCGTCAAACTAAGTAGCTCTGCCCAATATTTATCAAAGAGCGACCATTCTTGACGGTCGGTCACAGAAATCTTATCCTCTATGCGGCTGAGGCTTTGTTTGCTTTGGACGAGAAAGGAAAGTTATGATGCAGAAATATAGATATCACGTGCTCAAATCACGAGTGACTGACGATGCACATTGTGTAATAATGATATGCAGGAACCCTAAACCCTGCCAGATCATTTTCCCTGATCGCAGTCGACGCCATCGACGGCCACAGGCCACACTTCGAAAGAGGACGGTGTTCACGACGTACAAAGCGATGAAAGTGCAACGAACGTTAGTCACGTGCGCTCAGGCGGTGGCCGTAAAAAAGTTGGCCAAACGATGGCCTGCTCGGGGGCAACGTTCTTTCTCGTTGTTAATTATAATCGTTTTGACGACGAATGGGTCGATTGATCGAACAGCCATTATTTTGGTGTTTACAAATGACGGCGAAACCGGAAACGGTCGTTTCTGGGGCAGTGGTCTGCTCGGCAGCGTTGTTGTGGTAGAGAAAGCTTCGCCGGGGGCTGCGAAGCCGAAATCGGTCAGAGAAGCGGACGCGACGACGTCGACGACGCCGACGGAGGTGGTTGAACCGTTTGGCTGACGCCTGTTGAGGAAACGAGGTTAAGGTTAAAGCGAAAAAGCGTCGTGACCGCGATCGTCATTGTCTTTGCAACGAAACGGGTTTCCACACGACTGATTTCACACGTGTCCTTGAACGGGTGCACCACAGGTCGCCGTATAGCCGTGTCCAAAAATCTGTCGCTAGCACACGTGAGTGGCGGTAGTAACGACGACGGCGACGGTGTAAAAAATTAGTCCTCGTTGGAGGGTGTCACTCTAGCCCATAATCAGCACTACGTCGTTCGAGCGACCAACGGAGTCATCGCGCTCGCGCTCGTACACGTCTGTTATCGCGGTCGACTCGGACGGTTACTGTAATCTGGCGGCAGCCAATCGTCGCCGGTCGCCGCGCGCTGCTGATTGGAGCGATCCGCAGCTGAGCGACAACGGATTCTCTGTGGTTACCGACTGCGAATGTGTGCCTCGCGCCGTGTGTCATAGCAGAAACGACAGAAGACTTTGGGGAACACAGCCGGGACCATCATGTGGTACACGAATGAGCAATAGTACAGCAAACAGACCGAAGGCGAAAACATCGAGGGCATCAAAAAGTGGCCTCGGAAACGTTGCGGAACGAGATGGCATGTTCCGAATTGGACAAGTGATTTTTGTGCTGCGAGAAACGCTGTCTTCGATGCGTTTGCGCGAAACGACGACGCTAATCGATTTCGCCGTTGTGGTCAAATGACGGATGACCGCAGCGACGACGAACGGTGATCGTGTGGCCTACATCGGGACTCGGGCACGTCATGGCCGGCGGAAGGCATTCGACGTCGTCTTCGCCACCGCGGATCGTGTCGCACGCACTTTTTCTCGACCGCACTGACCTTGTCGCCACGACGACAAACACCCCTGCCCCTTTGCTCGCGGGTCGACAACCTCAGTCGGCCGAGCGACCGCCGGACAAACGAGGCCAAAGACCCTAGACAGCTGCTATTGTCGTCCTTCAGTCCATCGTTCGCCAGTCGTGTCTCTTGGCGACGACCATCGGTGACAACGTCACCAACAAAAACACGACAGAAGACGACGCGTCAACAGCTCTTGGCCATAAACGTAAAACCACCTATAAGTTATTGGGCAGTAATTTTATGCGTCTAGGAAACGTTTATGGCTGCGGTTATGCCTCTCTAGACCACTTTTTAACGCAGTTTGGACGGCAGCGAATTTCGTGTAAGATGTCTCATAGATCTACTGTGTTCGGTGGCTTCGGCTAAGGAGAATGGCAACCACGTGAGTCGCGTCGAATTTGCGCATTGAGTTCTGAAGGCTGGGGAGAAGCGAATTCGCTTCACGAATATCTGAGGAACAATTTGTGAGGAAACGTATTTTTGCCATGGGCAATTCTCCCTCATCTTGATTCTTGCACAAGTACAAAACCAACCATACAAGTGCACCTAATAATTACACCAAGGAATTGACGCGATGAATGAGCTGCTACTAACAATATCTACTCAGAATGATGGTGCTAACCTTGAA